TTTGTGTATCACTATCATTTTATGCCTTAATCGGGATAAAATTTTAACTTTGATTATTTACTATTAAATAGGAGGAAATACCCAGATATTGTAAAATGGTCTGGAATTTGACAAATTTACCTAAGTAGGTACATTTGTAAAAATTTGTTTGAATATAAAAGATTTATTTTGGCATCACTTGTCAGTTAAAGCTTTCCAAATAAAAATAATGCAAATATCACAGCAACTTTACTGGTTGTTTCAACAGATTATTTTGCAGAGGGATTTTTTTTTTTTTTTTTAGAAAAACAATTTCTGCTTAAGGTTGAAAGTATACAAGATATAAAAATAACAATAAATAAATGCAAATACACAAACAGACAGTTTTCTTGTTTTTCCGGCCTTGAAATGAATTGAAAGCCTGCGCAGCGCGTCATTCTGGGGGCCAAGGAGGAGGAAGTTCCGTGGAGAGAAGGGATCGAGGTGTCACAATGGAGAGCAAAGCACTGAAAAGGTTTAATTAACCGTGTCGGAGATAATTATCCCTGGACTGTCCAAATTAGTTTTGCATAATCGCTCTGATCCTTATGAATTAATCTCCCGGTGTAATCTAGAAGAGGCGGCTCGCTTCATTTTCGTGCTTTACATGTTGCTGAGAGATTCGGACAGTCCGCACCTGCTTCACACACACTTTCTCACTCAAACTCTCTTGGGTGCACCCATTTATTTAAATTAAACCTATTTTGTTTTTCTTCTCACACTCAGGTTATTTCAGATCCTCAATGAGGAGCTTGTTTCCCACCACTTTCCACTGCTTTTTTTTTTTTGTGCCTGCATGGGAAAAGAAAGCTTAGAGCAGGGCACAGTTTTATCTTCCGATTAAAATTGTGATAAATAAGGTTTTGGCTCTTGATAACAATGGGCTGATTTAGATTTCCCCCTCATACACCCCCCACCCTGTAATGCCATTCAAAGCGTGGACAAAAGCGGCCTTTGGAGGATACCTTACACTTCACCTGGACTGGACTGAGGAGGCAGGAGCAAGAGGAGGTAGAAAAAGAAAAAAAGAAAAAAAGAAAAGATACCAATCTTGTTCATCTCATCAAGAACTATACAGTCAGCGATTCCCTTCCTTTTAATCCGAATAGGTTTTATTGTAGTCCTTTTGCTCAACAATAGTTTGATGTACATAACGGGATGTTAAAGGAAAACACAAAACATACAAATTCCATATGAGTTAGTTAAAAGGGGTCTTTTTTTTCCCCTTGCTGCACATGACACAAGAAGTGGGAATGGTGAAAATTATAATAAACTTCCAACTGCTTCCAAACTTTTTTTTTCCGTTTGTTTTTTTTACTATTTAAAGAAAAAGAAAGCTTCAAAATAAATTACATCTTGTAAGATTCATGTGCAAATGTCTTGTCCTTTTTTTTTTAATTGTCTGGCTCACCATAAATTCCACTAAAACAATAAATATTACAGACATCTATAAAACGGTTTTAAAAAAAAAATCAAAATATATACACCGTGTTTCTAGTGAAATATCTCAAACACTAAAGCCTATAACGGCAAATAAACTAAAGGTCATTTTGGATCTGTACACATTTACATTTACAGTGTTGTGGCAGTCCTCCTCATTGATCCTTGAATAATAAGCCCCCCCCCCCCCCCCTCTAAAACTAAACCTTTCGGGCCCTAGCGAGGAAAGCAGGGG